GGAGCTTTCCTGGGGGGGGGGAAGCTGGGTGGTACAGCTTCTGGAGCACTTCGCCCTTCTAAGCGTTCCTGCAAAGTGAGAGCGGTCGGGTAGTTACTGCTAGGCAAAATGAATGCCTGTAAGGACCTCAGTGATATGTTTGAACTCCTCGCTGCGTAAGGTGTCTTTACTCTTTACAAGCTGTTTTTTAATAGGCAAAATCCGCAGGCTTTTGTTTCAAGAAACAAGTCTGAAAGGCGTTTTGCGGCAGGGAGGGCAGCATTAATATAGAACTTCTATGTCAGGGTTTGTGGGTAAAGCACGACAGCAACCGTATCACCTTGCATTCCTAAGTAAAGTTCTATCCTGTTTTAAAAGCAGACTAAATGTTTGAGGTTTTAATCAGATCTGAGGGCCATCATCACAAGTGACATTTTTCATCCGAGCATTTTACAATGACAGGTACTATTACGTTTTCTGCTGTGCAGGTTAGAGAAATTAAGGCAATGAAGCATCAGAAGACTTGCTCAAGGTCATGCAGCAAAGCTGTGAATATAGATAATTCCCATGTGGCCTGTTAAAAGCATCTTACCAGAAATTCTGGCATCCTTTTTCTAACCCCATGCTTTGCACAAATGTTTATGCACGAGCTGAGGCAGCTTAAACAAGGAGCGCTAGAGAACTTCTGTGTAAGGATTTGTTTAACAGAATAGCCAAGGTACAACTGCTTAGAGGTTTTGAAGCAACTGCAGCTGAGTAATTGAAACCTTTCTGGAACTGGAGAGCTTGAGGAAAGATCAGCTGTCTGCAGGCAGGCACTGTTAGTGAGTACTCAATTCATTAGAGGCAAATACAGTAAATATAAGCAATTGCAGCTGAAAGAGAAAGAATAAGGAACCTTATGCAGAGCTGTAAGAAAGATACTTTAAGTACAACATTGGCAATATTACATTACCAGTGTGAAACAAACAGAGCTAGAAAGCTGAAGCAAATGTGTCAGTGGTGCTACTGCAATGCTTAAAGTGGTAGCATAGCATCAATGATCAAGATTATTAAAAAAAGAAAAAAAGGAGGTGGGGGGGTGTTTGAGGGAGAACATGAGTCCTTGCAGCTCAGTCCTCATGGTGTTCCTCCCCAGGCTCTGCATTGACGTCACAATGACACGGTGAAGCCGAAGACAGGAGCTGGGAACAGTTCTCCTGCTTCACTTTTGATAATAGAGTGAATTTGTCACCACTCCGTTCCTCCCAGCATGGCTAAGAGTGCAGAGGTGAAGCTGGCAATCTTTGGTCGAGCCGGCGTGGGCAAGTCAGGTATGTTTGCTGTCTCTTTTTTTTTCTTCTGCTTATCATCAGGTAACTCTTCACTCCCTCTGTGCAGACAAACTCTTGGTACAAAAAGACAGTTGTGACCTTAGTTTTGTCAGGGGGGTCAGGATCAGGCCAGGATTTCTCTGTTTCTTGCTTTCCACACTATTTTTCTCCAGGTTCTCCAGAATAAAGGTACTTTTATAACTTAAAAACAAAAAACAAAAAAAACACAAACCCACAAAAAAAACCCAAGAAGCAAGAACAAAAAAAAAAAACTACCCACCCCAATTCAATCCCACTTTTCATGAAATGGCAAGATTTCTCTTTCCGTCTGAACAGAATTACTAATTTTTCATTTGTCTCTTCATAGTTTGTGCTAGATGTAGGTATTTCTACTATGCTCCCTATCCCCTAAGATCAGTTCTTGTCAGTTAAATATTGGATGACTTCTGTAATTCTGGCTGATTTCAGTAGGAAATTTTATACTCAGCAACTCAATTTTTTTTTTTTTCAGTGCTGTCTTGCATTTCATATTTACCAGGAAACCAATAAAATATCATGTGCAAAGTATGCATTTGGAGAGATCTTTTTTTGAGAAATAAACGTGGTCTGATGAGTTCATATGGTAGAAACACAAGGGGGAGGCATAAATGTTAAAAATCAGTTTCTACAGACAGCCTTTCCTTTGGTGGGACAAGGAGAGTAACAGGTAAAGGGTTGCAAGCTCTCTCAGGTAGTTTGGTGATGTTAACTCAGCAGCTCAAGGGCCACCATAATGTCCTCGTACCACAGGGAAGAGGAAATAAGGAGATTTGAGTCTAATCATGCTCCTTTGCCAGTTTGGGAATTCTAAGATTCTATTTACTTTAGAGAATTCTGCTCAAGGGAAGCCAGGAGGTAGGATGTGGTGGTAGGAGCACTGAGACTCTCAGCTGCTGTCAACTGACTCTTGTTACTCGAAGTAACTTTTGTATTGGAAGTGCCAGGGTTCTGGCCCACAAATATATTATAGTTCCATTAACTTCAGAATGGGTTGTTTCAAAAAGTACATTTACCCAAAAGGTATTTTACCAGAACACTGTCAGTGAAGTAGCTCTGTCAGCCTTCAGCAAAAAAAGTGTATGTGAGGCAGAGGTTGTTAGAGGTTACACCATTTATGCAAAGGCAGTGCAGATTAAATTCTATCTTTTTGAATTAAATACCTGAGGCAATGATGATAATGTACTGGGATAAGTTTAAACTGTTCCTTCTCTCCTGCTGTGCTCACCCCACCCCTCTTTTGTATTTGTATTTTGCTGTCCTGTCTAAGTTTTGCAAGAAACTTCAGAGGTTCTTCTTTTGGTTTGTCCTACATTTGTTTGACTGTTTCTGTGGTTGTCCAGTCTTTTGGCTCGATTCAAAGTAATGCAAGAAGATGTTGAAGTATTTACAGGAAAAATGAAATACCAAAAGTCTCCCCTCACCCTAATATTCTTAATAGTGCAAGAGCTTATATTTAAAAAATACAAAACTACTAGTTAAGTGCTCAGCTAAAATGCGTCACCAGCATAGGATCAACAAGAGCTTTATTTGGCTGCTGTATTCTTTTTCTAGACTTCCCTATATTAAGATGTTATGGTTGTTTTTCTGTAGTCCTGTAACTGGGTGGGAAATTGTTGTTAATGAAAAGCCATTAAAAACATCCTAGTTGTTCAGAGTCCTCCTCCACTCTCTTATTTTTTTGGCTTTTGAAATGCAAGGAAATATTACATAATATGACTAAGGTTCCCTCTTTTGATTGTGACCATACATGTGAATCTGTGTGGAAATGAAGGTGCAAATAAATGGGCAATACAACAGGGTGAATTTAAGGGGCTGGAGAGACTGGAGTGCTCTCAGCTACCTCAGCAGAGCAGCAACTGTGCCTCTTAGAATCTCCAGCTTGCTTATGAAAACCCCTCTTGTGCATTTCCATAAAAGGATCCAGTTTCAACAGCTTGATTGACTCCAGAGAAACAAGTGTGTGTGTGTGTGTGTGGGGTGGGGGTGGCATCTGAAAATATCTATTTGCTTGCAGCAAACAGTAGTAGTGGGAGATGTGGAAGTGGTGTTGCACCCTTGCTAAAAGGGGAGCTGGACACAAAGCAGTGTCCAGATAGTTGGGTTTGGCAGGTAAGAGGTAAGTACCCTGCCAAATTAGTGTTGATAGTGTTGGGTTTTTAAAGCGTAGCTGTGTGGTTCCCTGCCCTGTTACCAGTTCATAATATGTGGTTGAGACAGGATCTTGTAGCCAACAGGTTACTAGAGTAGGCTTGGCCAGACAGCTGAAAAATAAGCCAGACTCTAGAAGCAAGCATGCAAGTCAGAATGCTGGAGCACACTAGATACATGTGATAAAAAGGAGATGCTGGGTGATAAATAAGGCCATTGTATTTGCCAGGAAGTCAAGACAAAATATGGTCACTGGCTTGCTTTCTTGGCTCATCTTCATTTTCTGAGGAAGAGCCAAGCATTAGGTTCTTAATCTGTAAGTGGCTTCACCACCTGAAAACATCTGTGAAGTTACAGACACATACTGTATTATCCTGGAGAGGTTTCTCTTCCAGTGCCTGACCAGGACTTTGGATCACAGAGACAAAGCAGCTGTGAAGAAAGAAGTATTGTGCTTCAGGATATGTGGAGAAGTAAAGTTGTCCCTCCCACACCATGCAAGTCAGTAGAATTATTATACCATTACTGAAAGCTGAGGAACGTCCTAATCTCATTGTTAATGTTAGCCATCTGTTTAATAGGGTGCAAGATTCCTTATTCTACCAAGCAGTCCCTTCCAACTAATCTAAGACCTTCTCAAACATGAGGTGGGAAACCAAAAAACACTGTTCACAAGTCAGAATAGTTGTAGTTTCTGAAAAGAGAGTTAAAGAGAGGGAAAACAAAACTTTTCTCCACTTTCTTTCTGCTTATCAATTTTTCATGGTTCAAAGGTTTAGAAAACAAACAAGGGGAAATAGCAAGTCAAGTGTCAGTTTTTTACTTTTCTCTTTCCTTGCCTTGTCTTCCCTCTGCCTGCCTGAGGAGGCCAGCAGAATTGCTGGTCACCTCGCTTGTCCTGGGTTGCATTTTTTTAGGTTATTTTTTTAACTTAATGTAGAAATAAGCCTTTCAAATAGAAAAGGAGGAGCAAACCAACTCAGAAAGAGGCATGTAAGAGTGCTCTAGTAAGGCACTTAGTGCAGAATTACACTAAATAGTAAATCACTGGTCATCTTATCTGGGCAAGCTCATCAAGTAGGAGCATCTCAACCTGCTCTTGTACACTGGACCAGATGCTCCTCCATTCACCCAGTTCTTATTGTATAAATGTTGCATAAACATGGCTTTAAACTAGCTGAGAAAAAAAAAACAGCAATGAAAAAAACACAGATGAGGAGCTGTGCCTGAGCCAAGGAGCACTTTGCTGCTGTTTCACTCGGGAAGGAGAGGAGACTCTCTGTGGGTGGGAAGGGACATTGCTAAGCCCTGCTATAGATAACAAGGAAGTACCTCCTAATTTGGGCTAAAGTCAAGCAGCACTGAGGGAGAGAGAGCTTTTACAGTCTTATTCTTTCTGTCCAAGAGGAGCTTGAAGGGAGCAGAGAATTAAAGTTGAAGTGAATTACTTAAACATTGTTGTTTAAATTGTTATTCTGCTGAATCCTGCAGCTTCATTCCTATGGTAACAAAGTTAGAATTTCCTAAATAGCTCCTTTGAAAAATACAGTAGTAACAATTAATAAAGACTTAAAGACCTTATTCTTCCATGTCATCACAAGGTACAGTATGTTCCCAGAAAACTGAAGAGGATTAAAAGTATGAAGTAGGAAGAGAAAAGAAAGGCATGTAGCAGATAGCACTGCATGGCTGATGCTTTTCCAACTCATAATTCAGTTGACTATGAATGCTCAAAATACCTCTGGTCAGGAGCCTTTATATGTTGGCCAAAAAGGAGAGACTATCCAGCTGCAGCATGTGTTATCCAACTTGCCTTTCTGCTGTGTGTGTATGCTAGGCTGAATACTCCAAGTTTCTGCATTAGAGTACAGTGCTCCAGCCATGGGCAGATGTGATTCTGGTCTGTCTGGACAGGCCATGAAGATGCAGCCCTGGTATGTGACATGGAAGTATCTGTGGTTGCTAACGTTGCTTAAGTGAGAGGGAAGATACCTAGACTTCCACAGGCTCCCCTCAGTAAATACATATCTGTTCCTAAACAGCTATACAAGTAATTTCCTTGAGCAATGAGGTAGATGAGACATGGGGCTGTTGTCACCTTTTGATCCAGCAATAGCTCAGATGCTTGTGTTTGGGCAAGAAAGTGATTGCTGGATGGTGTTTACTGATGCTACTTATGAAAGAGCCTGTCCTGTCACAGAAATAAAGATCTCACTAACCTCAGTCATTCTGGTGTCACAGTTGTGAAGGTCTTGCGTAGGTGTAGATTTCTAACTGTTGGTTTACATTATTTTGGAAAATACTTGTGAGAAAGACATCTGGATTTAAAAGTTCCTACACAACAAATTCAAACAGCCAAGCCAGAGAGGCCTACAACAAATCTATCCTTTGTTTTCATTATTTGGGGTTATGTCTAAAATACACTACCAGGAATCACTTCCCAATTGCAAGGTCTGGGTCTATGAAGACTAGAACTAAATTCAGCATCCCCTCACCCCCTCCAGAAAAACATACAGGTAACTGGAAAAGAAGCCTATTTCAAAGTGATTTTCTGTTTCATAAATCCCTGCTCATATATTTTCCTCCACCAGTTTCATTTCAGGGACTTTTGGGGAGGAAACAAAAGTTATTAAGGAATAATTCATCATCAAGCTCGCAGCTCTGCTAGTAAGGCAGAGCAAGCTACCACGAAGGCTTCAAAGTCCATTCTATACCAACTGATGTATCTCGGGTGGATTACTGTAATAAGGTGCCTCTTAAATCCAGAAATGTGGGTGGAAGGAGACTGTGGCTTCTCTAGGATTTTTTTGGTT